CGGAACATGGCAGTCGACACGCGCTCTGTTAAGGACTACACACGTGAACTGTACATGGCAGTGGCACGAAAGATGGGAAGTACAGAGCCCAAACCCTTTAATGCTTCCTCTGGGTGGTTACAGAGGTTTAAGATCCTGAACAAGATCACCAATATAAACATTAGTGGTGAAGAAGCGAGTGCTGACCGTGCTGCGGCTCGGGAATTTCCTCCGTTTTTACGTGAGATTATGGAGGAAGGACAGTACAGTGACGACCAGGTGTTTAACATGGACGAATCTGGTCTTTTCTGGAAAAAGCTACCTTCCAAGTCCTTCGTTGTGAAGAATGCCAGCAGGATTCGGGGCCGGAAGATGCAGAAGGAACGCATCACCGTCCTGTTTACCACCAATGCCTCCGGTACCTGTAAGCTCAAGTTATCGGTGATCCACACAGCACGCAAGCCACACGCCTACAAAACCATGGACATGACCAAGCTAAATGTCCACTGGCTGACCGCACGTAAGGCGTGGATGTTCTCTACACTGTCCCTTTCCTGGTTTGATGACTGTTTTGTTCCCGATGTAAAGAAATTCTGTGAGCGACAGAATGTGCCATTCAATAATTTGTTGCTGCTGGACAACGCACCAGGACACTCGCCCCTACTGTTAGATCGTCACCCCAACGTAAAAGTGGTCTTCCTTCCTCCCAACACTACGTCTATATTACAGCCCATGGACCAGGAGTTAATCTGTAATGTAAAAGCTGCATTCTCAACAAAAAAATTCAAACTCCTGAACGACTACACCAACACCAGGGAAGAGTTGCGTAACCTGAGTGACACCACCACCGATAGCAAGAGCAAAGAAGATGAGGATCAACAGTTGGCACAGCAAAAAATACTGTTCAAACAATTCTGGAGAGTATTTAACATCAAGAAAGCTGTGGATTTCTTGGTGGAGTCATGGGATCAGCTGTCTATTGTTACAATTCGTCACACATGGAGACATGTGTTGCATGGAATACCAGGTGAGAGGAGGAGTCAATCTGTGACTGGTGAGGTTCAGAATGTTGCAGTAGCAGTGGACCTTGCCAGAGAAGCTGCGCAGACTGTTACAGTTCCAGGCTTCTCCGAGACCACCAACGACGACATCCTGGAGGTGATCAGAGATCCTGAAGTGACTGCCGACGAGATGTTGGAAGAAGATCACGTCAGTGAAGAGGAGGAAGAAGGTGCGTCATTCTCCGAAGAACACAGTTTAACTCATAGTGATATTAAGGGTGCCATGGAGTGTGCAGAGAAAATGAAGTCCTTCCTTTCCCACGACAATGACGATGACCGCTATGAAGTCTTCCATACCCGGCTGGTGCAGGCTATGGAGCCGTACATCACGGTGTATCATGACAACATAAACACCAGCCGTCAAAAAAGCATAACCGAGTTCTTCGCTCGCAACCCACCACAACCAGCCCAAGCCAGTGATAGTGACAGGGATTTGTCAGGGAAGCCCTGACAACTGTAAGTGACAGTGATGGTGCTTCACCTAGTAATGGTGATTCACCTGAGGGCCAGTAATCCACCCTCTGCCTCGGAACCAGCCTCCATTCCCGTATGCCGACCCATCTCTTCTTCTACCGTAAGTGTTCCACCTAAGTTTTAGTTTTTCTAACCTAACCTTTATTTTTCCTATGTTAACCTTTATTTTTCCTAACCTAACCTCTTCTATATTACTTGTTTTTTCATACCATTATAAAGTTAAGATAAAATTTTTACTACAACATAGTTGTGTGTCGTCAAAAAGTGGAGTTTGGGGGTCGGCCCGGACTCCATTTCAATTAATCCCATATGTTATGTTATTCACTTTACGCGTTTCTCACTATACGCGGGACCCTCCGGGTTACATTAACCGTGTAAAGTGAGGGTTAACTGTATTTACGTCTTCAGCAAATTTGCCTCAAGTTTGAGATAATAGATTGTGATAATTTGGCTTGTTTTTCAGTACAGTGAACCCTCACTTTACACGGTTAATTCAACCCACAGGGTACCGCGGAAAGTGAGAAACGCGTAAAGTGAACAACATAACATATGGGATTAAATGAAATAGAGACCGGCTGACCCCCAAACTCCACTTTTTCCGACACAATACCTATGTTCTAGTAAAAATAACATCTTAATTTTATGATGGTACATGCACACAATTAATGCTTAAGAGAAATAGAGAAATACAGTCGCCAAGTTAATGTCCATTCAAATAATGGACTCAACTCCCACCCCCTCTTCTCACACTACACTGACTGGCTCTTCCCTCTCTCAGAAATTTTGGGGGGAAACCACTAGATTTTAAGGTATAGTAATAAATAATACCTCAAACTAAAGTTAGGATAATATAATTGACATTGCTGGATTCCTTGTAAGACCAGGAATATTTTGAATATAAATGTCATATATTTTGCACAAAAGATAACATAGTTACTCAGAGTAAACAAAATACTTACATTAGATCTAAATTTGTATGTCTAATGCAAAATCTATGATGTTTATATTCAAAATGATCATCAAATTGTAAGAATTCCAGCAATGTAAATTATATTCTGGCCGGGTAATTTGTATGAATTTTATGAGCTAAAACAAATATCTTCAGTTAATAAAAAAAAAATATTCTTCAAGACACTATCTGTCAATCAAAGTACCCCCACCTTGCCTCCCCTTCTCTTCCAACCGCGCCAGATGGTCGGTCCGTCCCTCCCTCCCTACCAGATAAATGTGTGGGAGAAACCAGAATATTTACCTTTTTAGTAATAAATAATACCTCAGACTAAAGTTAGGATAATATAATTGACATTGCTGGATTCCTTGTAAGACCAGGAATATTTTGAAGATAAATGTCATATATTTTGCACAAAAGATAACATATTTACTCAGAGTAAACAAAATACTTACATTAGATCTAAAATTTGTATGTCTAATGCAAAATCTATGATGTTTATATTCAAAATAATGATCAAATTGTAAGAATTCCAGCAATGTAAATTATATTCTGGCCCGGTAATTTGTATGAATTTTATGAGCTAAAACAAATACCTGTATCTTCAATAAATAAACAAAATATACTTACCGAAATACTATCTGTCAATCAAAATACCCCACCTCCCCCCCTCTTCCCACCTCCCCCCCTCTTCCCACCTCCCCCCCTCTTCCCACCTGCTCCCTGGGTCCCTCCCTCCCTCCCTACCAGAGAAATGATTGGGTTATAACAGTATATTTACATTTTTAGTAATAAATAATACCTCAGACTAAAGTTAGGATAATATAATTGACATTGCTGGATTCCTTGCAAGACCAGGAATATTTTGAATATACACTTCATATATTTTGCACAAAAGATAACATATTTGCTCTGAGTAAACAAAATACTTGCATTAGATCTAAAATTTGTATGTCTAATGCAAAATCTATGATGCTTATATTCAAAATGATCATCAAATTGTAAGAATTCCAGCAATGTAAATTATATTCTGGCCGGATAATTTGTATGAATTTTATGAGCTAAATAAAAAAATTATACTTCACCCGCGTAAAGGGGTACAGGCACCGCGGAGTGTGAGCAATCCGCTTTTGGCAGGGTACCGCGTAAACGTGGAAACGTGGAATGTGGGACCGCGTAAAGCGAGGGTTGACTGTATTTTATTATTAGTAATATTATTAGTAACACAATTTTTGTGCTTAGTGGACTACTGCTCGTCCCAGACTCCCTAGCTAGGCACCTCCGCCTATGGCGCTCGGCATCCCATCTGCAATACGGGCGCATTAGATGCAGGGTAATTTGAGATACATTGAAAAAAAAAAAATGTCTTATATGCAGGTAAATACGGTACGTACTGGGTAATCTCCCCAACGGCTGGTCAATGTCTCACCTCACTCCCCCTCCTCCCCCATGCCTGGCTGTCAACACCTCACCTCCCCCTCCCAGGGGTGAAGGTAGTTTTAGGCTTAAAGTTTTTCTTACAAAATTTCACAGACTAAACTTAGCAGAATATAACTTGCATTGCTGTAGGCTTGCAAGATTGCAAATAATTTGAGTATAGACATTATATAATTTGCAAAAAAGATAAAATGTTAGTCCTTTAATGTAGTATTGTACATTTGAGTACAGTAATATGTTGCTCAAAATTATGGCTTTTTCACAGGAAAAAGTCTGTATAACTAACCACAGTGGTTAGAATAATATGTAGTGTATTATTGGTGTTTTTTATATCATTATTTGCCGTTTTTATACATGTCGTACATTCACCGGAAGTTTCAGACAATCGGCTTTTCCAGACAGGTGGTCCCCCCTTTTAGTCCGGATCTTCGAGGGTTCACTGTATAATGCCACATAACATTCAGTAGTGCTATTAATGATGTTACATGACATACAGTACTTCTCTCAACTAACACCTGCATTCAGGTCAGGCCATCATGCCCTTTAGGCACTGTGTACAGTGAGGTCTGTACTGCATGTGCTTTGGAGTGTCCTGGTACAGTGTGGAAGTATCACAATAAATTATTATTGTATCAACAACAACACAAGTGGAATCCCTCAATTTCACTCAAATTTTGGTCTTAATAGAGGCTAACACTAGCAAATTTTTCTCTATTGAAATATTTTCTATTAAGGGCCCACTGTATCTGTAGTGTGTGTGTAATGTACAGCATATAACATTTAACCAGTTTTATACAGAGAATGGTCAGAGCAGAGAAGAATAGAAGGATATATCTCATGGGAGTTTATAATACAGTACCAACTGTATTATGATGTTGTACCACAGAGAGGTTCTGTACGATGGAAGTTGTAGAGTTTAAGCCTGTCCACTCCAAATGCCCTTACAGTACTATATTGAATAAGTAGGTGAGAGCAATAAATTTAATTTTCAACTTTAAATATCGAATTAAAAACCTATAAGTTCACTTGCAGACAAGTGCAGTACAATATTAGACAACAAGATAGTCATAACTGATCAAAGAATAGTTGTGTTACTTTACCATGTTACTCGATGGATCAACATCTTCAACTATTAGCACCTCTCCATTCTGAATTCCTATGCTGTTCAAAGTCATGTCAGGATTTCCTGTGATTGGTTTTGGTGGAAATCCTGAAACAGATCAATGATATAAATTAAAAAATTTCTAACAATAAACACATTATTTAAAAAAATAATAATAATAAAAATAACAGGATTGATCCTACACAGTTATGGCACATTAATGTTACCATAACAGAGCCAAATATTACCAGTGAACATTCCAGTGGGTGTTACCAATCACACTTCTTTTTCAGTCAAAATCTGCAACCATCAAATTGAAAGAAAATGGTCTCCAAATGGCTTTATGATACCCCTAAAAGCAGGAAGGTCTCCCAAGCCAATGCAAGTGCTTCTGTAAAACAACTACTCTGTACTGACTTTCAATATGACTTTATCAACTGCCCCAAACACTGTCAATCCCTTCCATGGCCGCCACGGGAGATTACTAGCCAGTACGGCAGAACTGCAGAGATACAGACCCTTGCTCCACAAACATCCCTCAGATGCTGCCCTCAACAAACTTCTCATAACCCGACTTTTTTCTTTTATATTCTGAAAGATGTTATTAGGCTTAATTTACTGATGTGATTAGTGCTACTCCAAAATAGGCAAGGAAATTACAATAGCCCCTAAATATTTCAGATTTACAATTTGCCTTCTTATTTCATGGCATCCTAAAATACATAAAATTTTTCTTATTGCATAATTTTGTGGTATAAGCCCAGAATAATTAAATACTGGCACTCCCTGATTTGTAAAAAAAAGAGTTGATCCTTGAAAAAAAATCATAAATTGATTTCACATAAATCAGAACCATTTTCTCATAGACTCCCATTATAGGAGATGCAATACACTACTAAAAAACAGAAATCCTGTATTGCTAAATAACATACTGTCCTACAGGTTGCACCTCTCTAGTCCGGCAACCTCGGGACCTGACCGGTGCCGGACCATGGAAATTCACCCTTTTCCTGGATAGATAGTGACTTGTGCTTATGCCTGGAAGCACTAGCACCACTTTCTCTGCGTCATGGTCTCTTTGAAGACATATTGAAGGGTTAAATGTCGTATAGTAGCTTCTCAAATTTCGCGAGTTTTTAACTCTTAACGTATTTTATTGGAACACACAAAAAAATAAATAAATACAAATTTTGACGGCGGAAACTTGAATTTCGACGGGTTTGAATGGCCCGCCAACGTGCAGACGACGTGCATAATCGTGTAAACAGCGTCATTTCTCTTATGTACAAAAGATTCATTATTGTTTATTACTGAATATCTTTTTTATTGAATTAATGTTTATGTGTGCAAAATGAGCAATACAATTCATTAATAATACGTAGAATATTAAATCACACGAGGAAATGACACAGCATTGTTTTCGTTGATTACAAAACCAGTGACTGACTGGTTTTACATATAAAACTGAAGAAAATAAGACCTTGGTTGTAGCTGTAGTAAAATTAATATGGTTGTTTTAAGTAATGTTATTTAATGTTAATAAATGGAACAATAGAAGTAGCTAACGATAATGGTAAAGAAAAAGAGAGATCGAATATGTAAGTGCGCATGCGTACACGTGAAAACATATTTTAATTAATGTTTCTGAATTTGTTTTTATTGAATTAATGTACGTGTGTGCAAAATTAACAATACAATTTATTAATAATACGTGGAATATTAGAGGAGACGAGACGGCTGCCGGCATTGTTTATGTTAAAGCTTACGAAACCAGTGACTGATTGGTTCTACATATAAAACTGAAGAAAATAAGACCCTGAGTTTAGCTGTAGTAAAATTAATGTAAAAAATGAATATGGTTGCTTGAAGTACCTGTAATGTTATTTAATGCTAATAAATGGAACAATATAAGTAGCTAACCATTAATGGTAAAAAAAAAGTGAGACTGCTCGTATGTAAGTGCGCACATGTGAAAATATATCGTCATTACTCTACATAAGAATATGAAAGCAACACTTATTTACTGCTCATATATATTGAAGGGTTAAATGTTGTACTCTGGAGAGAGAAGAGAGAGAGAGAGAGAGAGAGAGAGAGAGAGGAAATAGGACACAGAGAGAGAGAGAGAGAGAGAGAGAGAGAGAGAGAGAGAGAGAGAGAGAGAGAGAGAGAGAGAGAGAGAGAGAGAGAGAGAGAGAGAGAGAGAGAGAGAGAGAGAGAGAGAGAGAGAGAGAGAGAGAGAGAGAGAGAGAGAGAGGGAGAGAGAGAGAGAGAGTAGAGAGAGAGAGAGAGAGAGAGAGAGAGAGAGAGAGAGAGAGAGAGAGAGAGAGAGAGAGAGAGAGAGAGAGAGAGAGAGAGAGAGAGAGAGAGAGAGAGAGAGAGAGAGAGAGAGAGAGAGAAAGAGAGAGAGAGAGAGAGAGAGAGAGAGAGAGAGAGAGAGAGAGAGAGAGAGAGAGAGAGAGAGAGAGAGAGAGAGAGAGAGAGAGAGAGAGAGAGAGAGAGAGAGAGAGAGAGAGAGTAGAGAGAGAGAGAGAGAGAGAGAGGGGAGAGAGGGAGAGAGAGAGAGGGGAGAGAGAGAGAGAGAGAGAGAGAGAGAGAGAGAGAGAGAGAGAGAGAGAGAGAGAGAGAGAGAGAGAGAGAGAGAGAGAGAGAGAGAGAGAGAGAGAGAGCAGCCGAACTGCCGGATGTAAACAAACCTTAATTTCCGCGGCTTTGTTGTTGTTTTTTTTAAGGGGATTAGCCCACCCGGGCATAGGTCACTGACCCACATTGGGGCCTGAGGGGCAAAAATTTAATACTCCTGTAATAATAATAATAATAATTCAGATAAGTAAAAAAAAAAAAAAAACTGCCTATCTACCTATTGGACAAACTAAAATCGTTCCGGACCACGGGAGTTTCCGGACCACAGAATGCCTTCCCCCCCCCCCAAAAAAACAACACTTCCGTGATGCCTGCTGGACCACCACTCCACGACCCCCTGACGGAGACACGATGATCCTCCCCATACTGGCCAGATATTATGTGTTAAAGGAATATCCTTCCTTCCTTAGGCTTTAGTAAGCATTTGCCTCCAGGTGTAATGTTGACCTACATCTATTGAGGATAAAATCTTTCCCCTACAAATTGACAATAACACATTTGTTGTAATCAGACATATCTAGTTGCCTCAACAATTGCAACCCCAGTTGCAATTGGAGTTGCAATTTCAAATTATATGTCTTTACTAAGGAATAACTAAGTCTCTGGTGCACTCTAAGGTTGAGAGAAAACGGAGGACTCAGGCATCCTGAAGCGAGAGAAAACGGACTCCTATGACGGGGCACTCAAATAAAGAAAACATAGCTACATGTTTTGTGGACTACCCACTGTACAGTATTGAGCATACCCTTTTCATCACTTTGTAATAAACCTAGTCATGCCTATGTGTGTTTCTGATAATTACCATAACATTATATCTTTAGTTGGTCTGAATGAAAGCACTTGTACAAACACAAGCACTCACACATGCCACTAAGACTGACAGACTTGACAAGTTTTACCAACCATAAAGACAGTTGAACCTTTAAACATCACTCACAATGGATCTTGAATATTCCAACTGTAATCAGACATGCCTAAGTTGCTTCAACAATTGCAACCCCAGTTGCAATATCAAATTCTGTGTCATTACTAAGGAATAACAAAGTCTCGGGTGCACTCTAAGATTGAGAGAAAACGGAGGACTCAGGCATCCTGAAGTGAGAGAAAACGGACTCGTATGATGGGGGACCAAATAAAAAAAGCATAGCTACATGTTTTGTGGACTACTAAATTGAGCATACCCTTTTCATCACTTTGTAATAAACCTAGCCATGCCTATGTGTGTTCATGATATTTACCATAACATGTTATATATAAATTTGAGGGTCTAAATGGTCGTAAAATGGGAAACTTGGAGTTGGGTCTTGGGTGCCTGGAACCAATTTTAGAATAAATCCCATAGGTTCTGTACTTTCGTTATTGCGTTTTTGTGATGATCGGACAACGTCCATTTCGGTTAAAGTCACGTTTCCAAGAACGTATCTAGGACGTTAACCGGCGCATGACTGTACACTGATCATAAATATAAGAGAAATGCATGTACCGTAGTACTGTACAATACAGTAGAGTGAACCCTCACTTTACGCGGTTAATCCAACCCACAGGGTACCGCGGAAAGTGAGAAACGCGTAAAGTGAACAACATAACATATGGGATTAAATGAAATAGAGACCGGCTGACCCCCAAACTCCACTTTTTCCGACACAATACCTATGTTCTAATAAAAATAACATCTGAATTTTATGATGGTACATGCACACAATTAATACTTAAGAGAAACCGAGAAATACAGTCGCCAAGTTAATGTCCATTCAAATAATGGACTCAACTCCCTCCCCCTCTTCTCACACTACACTCGCTGGCTCTTCCCTCTGAGAAATTTTTGGGGGAAAACCACTAGATTTTAAGATATAGTAATAAATAATACCTCAAACTAAAGTTAGGATAATATAATTGACATTGCTGGATTCCTTGTAAGACCAGGAATATTTTGAATATAAATGTCATATTTTGCACAAAAGATAACATATTTACTCAGAGTAAACAAAATACTTACATTAGATCTACAATTTGTATGTCTAATGCAAAATCTATGATGTTTACATTCAAAATGATCATCACATTGTAAGAATTCCAGCAATGTAAATTATATTCTGGCCGGGTAATTTGTATGAATTTTATGAACTAAAACAAATATCTTCAGTTAATAATAAAAAAATATTCTTCACGACACTATCTGTCAATCAAAGTACCTCACCTTGCCTCCCCCCCTCTTCCAACCATGCCAGATGGTCGGTCAGTCCCACCCTCCCCCCCACCCCCCACCAACCCTCCCTACCAGATAAATGTGTGGGAGAAACCAGAATATTTACCTTTTTAGTAATAAATAATACCTCAGACTAAAGTTAGGATATTATAATTGACATTGCTGGATTCCTTGTAAGACCAGGAATATTTTGAATATAAATGTCATATATTTTTCACAAAAGATAACATATTTACTCAGAGTAAACAAAATACTTACA